ATGGTTCACTTAAGTTTACATCTCATATGCTGGCAGATCTTATAAGTATATCATAAATAATTAGAGTGTATAAAGAAAGCAGTGATGCTCGTCATGGTGCATGCCAGTAATCCTAGTACTTTGAAAGCTGAGGCAGGAGGACTGCTGCAAGTTCAAGGTCAACCTGGGCTACATAGTAAGCTCTATGCTAGCCTGGACTACACAGTTAGAGCCTGCCTCAAAAAATAAAGAATTTACAAAAGCAAACCATAGGTCATTTTTCCTTAGAACTATATAAATCAACATAGTTATTGAGCATTCTGGTACTTTTCATATCATAATTGAAGATCAGCATATGTTTGGCTTTAAAGGTCCCAACAAGGGCATATGTTGGATCACAATATACAATACTATGTAGCTTGAACTACATGTTCTAGTTAAAGAAAAAGTTACTTTGTCAAAATACAAGCCACTAACAAAATAAGCTTCTTTCACTTAGCACTATGTTACATGGAAGGGGTTTTAATTTACTAGCCTAGAAACATGTCTTATCACTGGCTAGTGCATAATAAATTTTCACGAATTAGATACTGAGAAGAATAAAATATTTGACAATAAAACAAAAGTTGAATAAAAACACAGACATGAAAGTAGAAAGAAATAAGAAATTCCCAAGCATGATGGTGCATGCTTGTATCCCAGCACTTGGGAGGCTGAGGCAGGAGGATCTTCAGTTCAAGCCCAGTCTGGAATACATAGCAAGCTCTTGTCTCAAAAAACAAACAAACAAAAACCAAGGGAAAGAAATAACATCAAAAAAGATACCAATACATTGGAACAAAAGTGTTGAGAAAAACAAAGAGGAGTTATAGACAGACTTTCATATTATTTGAAAAATTCTGAGGTTTTGTGTTCTCTTTTGAAGATACTGTGTTAATCCCTAGGATAAGAGCAGAATATAGGAGGTAATATTTAAAAATGTATGCATTCTCATTGTATCACTTTACTATCATTAGGAAATCAGAAAACTGGTTATAATTCTGAACTTGGATCTGTAGGGTAAGGGGACTTGGTACCTTTAAGTATTAGCATAGTATTTTATTTTACATTCATTAAGTAATTGATAAATATGTGTTTACTGCCAACAGATAGTCACAAATGTAAGAAATACAATTCATGGCTTCAAAAAGCTTCATGGGAGATCATTTGATGATCCTGTTGTGCAGACGGAAAGAATCAGACTTCCCTATGAACTGCAGAAGATGCCTAATGGAAGTGCAGGAGTTAAGGTAAGCATTATATTTCCATAGTACAAATATATCGTCAAAATAAACCAAATATGATAATGTTATTTGTGGTTTTTTTCCCCCTCTGGATGTGGCACATACACACCCAAGACATTATGCAGTCTGTAATAATTTTAATGCCAAAAAAATTCTAATTTAGTTAATAACTTCTCAATTCAAATGCTAATTTTATTGACAAGGAAGAAATTATTAGTATTTGTAAAACTATTTGTAAAAATAGCTGAACCGCTTGTGCAGAAGATTGCAATTTTCTGAATTTTTGTATGAAATTCATACATGTTACCTAGAAAAATTCATTGAACAAGAATTTGAAAAGAAAAATTTCTATCTTCCATTGCCATGGGATTCCAAAAATGGAATGCTGCACATAAATGAGCTAAAGGATAAAGGCAAAAGTATATGTGTTTTAAAAGAATAGACCCAAAGAGTATGTTAGTTGTATTAAAGAAAACTTTTCTTCTATGAGATGGATTCTGGACTTTTAATTCTACATATCCAAACAGTTAGAAATTGGTTAATAAAAACGTGATTTTTTTTCAAAAGTAGTGGGATATCTCAAAATAGAGTTACTGAATGACCCAACTGTTCCATTCTTGTCAGTACCCAAGAAACTTGAAACGTGCACACAAAAACTTGTACATGAGTATCCATAACATCATTTTTGGGAAGGAGAGGGTTTGTATAGTTCAGGCTGGCCTTGAACTCACTTTGTAGCCTAGCTGGCATCAAACTCGAGGTGAATCTCCTGCCTCAGTCTCCCAAGTACTGGGATTAGAGGCATGCACCACCATGCCTAGCATAATAGCATTATTTATAATAGCCAAAAAGTAGAAACAACTCAAATATCCATCAATTAATGAGTGGATAAACAACATATGACACTTTTTTACAATGGAATTTTTTCCATAAAAAGAATGAAGTACTGATATGTCCTACAATATGCATGAGCTTTAAAACATTTTAAGTGAAAGAAACCTGATATAGAAGTACAACATTTGTCAGGGACAAGATGAAGGTGTCCAGTCTCATTACTCCTGTTCAATATGTGCTACCTAAAACTTTGACCAGAGCAATTAGGGAAGAGAAAGAAAGAAAAGATAACATAGGAAAGGAAGAAGTCAAACTATCATTAGTCACAGATGATATGGTAATTTACGTAGAAGACACAAAAAATTCCATCAAAAGACTCCTAAAATTAATAAAGAAATTCATTAAAGTAGTAGACACAAAATAAACATTAAGAAATCAGTAGCATTCTTGTGCATCAAAAATGAACCCACCGGGGCCGGGGATTTAGCTCAGCGGTTTCACTGCCTGCCTCCTAAGCGCAAGGACCAGAGTTCGATCCCCAGTACCAAAAAAAAGAAAATGAACCCACCAAGAAAGAAATCTGGAAAATAATCCCATCTCTGAGTGGGAAACAATCCCATTCAAAAACAGCTACTTAGGAATTAGCCTAACCAAGCAAGTTAATGCCTCTATAATGAAAAATACAGTATACTGAAGAGAAGAGAGTATCAGAAAATTGAAAGACATCCCCTGTTCCTGGATAGGCAGAAGAAATAGTTTAAAAGGCCATATTTCCAAAACTGATATGTAGATTTAATGCAGGCCTAATCAAAATACCAACAGCATTCTTCACAGAACTAGAAAAAATAATTATACAGATCCAGAAGAGACCTAGAATAGCAAAAACAATCCTTGATTTCAAGTTATATAACAAAGCTACAGTAATAAAAATAAAACAATGATACTGGCACAAAAAGCCAGAATGTGTATTAGTGGAAGAGACTAGAAGGTACAGAAACAACCTCAGGCATGTTCAGCTATCATTCCTTTGACAAAGTGGCCAAAAACATAGCCTGGTGAAAAGATAGCTTCTTATAACAAATTATGCTGGGGAAACTGGTTATCTATGTGCAGAAGACTGGATTTAGGGCTGTGTTTCTCATCTTACATTAAAAAGAAAAAAAAAAAATCAAGGGCTGGGGATTTAGCTTAATGGTGCTGCACCTGCCTCGAAAGCACAAGGTCCTGAGTTCAATCCCCAGTACCAAAAAAAAAAATCAAAATGGATCAAAGACCTAGATATTAAAATAGAAAAACCAAACCTCCTGGAAGGTAAAAATAGATAAAACTCTGAAAGACATAGGCATAGGCAAGGACTTTCTGAACAGAACCTCAGTTGCACAAGAAATAACACCAAGAATCAACAAATGGGATTATATTAAATCAGAAAACTTCTACATAGCAAAAGAAACAACAGAGTGAAGAGACAACCTACAGAATGAGAAAAAATTTTTGATTAGCTACTCCTTAGACAAAGGACTAATACCTAGAATATATAAAGAACTCAAAAAAACCCTCAACCAAGCAAAAATGCATAATTGAAATGGATACTTCTCAGGAAGACAACTACAAATAACCAATAAATACATGAAAAAATGTTCAACATCTTTGGCCATTAGAGAAATGCAAATCAAAATAATACACTGTACTGAGATACTCCATCTTACCCCAGAAAAAATGAGTATCATGAACTCAAAAACCAAGAAATGCTGGTGAGGTTGTGGGGAAAAGGAACCTTCCTACATTGTTGATGGGAATGTAAACTAGTACAAATGTTACCAAATTGCTCCTTCTAAAAGTGTCTCACCAATTAAATGTTAACAGGTTTTGGGTTGCTTGTCTCTTCCTCTGGAGTTAGATTCCAGGTCCTTCTTATCTCAAAAAAGACTTGAACAAAATGAGCAAAAAGCAGTGGACAAGTTTACTTTAAAAAATAAAAGTGAAGAGTGAGGGACAAAAACTGGCTCTGCATAGCAAGTTTGGGCTGAGTAAAAGAAAAAGTAATAAAAGGACACCCTCCCTGGAGAAAGCACAGCGAGTTGCTGTGAGGAAAGTCATGATAGCAAGTTGTTGGCATCTGTGTCTTTTAACCTGTCCAAATCTCAAGGAAACCTGTGAGAACTTCTACATACAGGTCCTATATGTAGAGGTGGGTGCTGGGGTCCTGCGCCTCAGGCTGAGATCAGGTCCATTCCACCCTATGGAAACCCTTCTCGAGAGAAGCCCAGATGCAGGGCTTTGGGAACTGTTCTACACATGTGTTCTGGGATCATATAATTAACGAGGTCATGTCTGTCTTCTTGCCATGCCCTAATCTCCTATCTCACAACCACTATGCAAATCAGTATAGAGATTCCTCCAAAAACTAAAAATAGAAATTCTATTTGAACCTGATTTACCTCTTCAAATATCTTCCTGAAAGAGTTAAAGACATTATATGCAATGATACATGCATACTCATATTTATAGCAGCACAACTTAGAACAACTAAATCTTGGAAACAGCCCATGTGCCCATCAATAGATGAATGGATAGAGAAAAATGTATATATACACAGTAGAGTACTAGTCAGCTATTAAAGAAGGATAAATTTGAGTCATTTGTAGAAAAATGGATAACCTTGACATCATCATGCTAAGTGAAGTAAGTCAGACATAGTTAAATATCACATGGTTTTTCTTATGTGAGAAACCCAAAGTATAAATAATTTAAAGAGCAAATTAAAAGAAATGATAGCTGGATGTGGTGGCGCATGCCTGTGATCCCAGCACTTGAGAGGCTGAGGCAGGAGAATTGCTGCAAGTTCAAGACAAGCCTGGGCTACATAGTGAGTTCAAGGACAGCCTGAACTACATAGTGAGACCCTGTCTCAAAAACAAAAAAAAGATTTTAATTAAAAAAAAATGATAGGAAATAGGGAGAGGTAGACCTTGTACCCAATAGGAAGGGGACCCACAGTCGGAGGTTGTATCAGTCAGTGCTCATAAGGTAGGCCATCCACAGAGTCAGGTGTGGAAGACTACAAAAAGCTGTCTGCACAATAGAGATGGATCCAGTCAAGTTCAAAGGCCTGTAATTACAGGACACTGTAATGTCCTGTGTGAGTCTGTAACAGGAGGTGGAAAGGTCTGCGATGGAAGGCTGAAGCTTCTGCACTGGAAGGCTGAAGAGTCTGTGCCGGAAGCTAGGAGACAATGTACAAGGTAAAGGTGAAGACTAGAGCTCCTCCGAAGAAACCGAAGCAGCCTTCCTTCTTTATTTCCCTTTTATTCCATTCAGGTGACAAGCCTACCCAGGGTGGGTCTGCTGTCTTCAGTAAAATCCTTGCAGCCAACACCCACAACTATGCTAATTCAATTTAGTTGGGCATTTCTTACTCAAGTTGACACAGTAAGTTAACTGTCACAGAGGGAGGGAAGGAATAGAGGGGAAGGGAAAATTATTATTATTCATCTTTTTAAGACTGACAAGTGTTCAAACCTCGTGAAATCTCTCCATTTATTTTTACACATTTGTTTGAATATATTTTGATGTTTGTTTCATCTAACTTATAAAGGTCTTACACAAAGAAATACAATATTATTGTACCCTTATACTCACTAAAACTATGGTATTTGATTTTCCCCCCTATTTCACTGTGCTTTACCTCTATTTTTCCCTGGTTTAAAGGCAGTCATTTGACATAGCACTTGTTTATAAACTTATTTGTAAGTGGATTTGGAAACAAATGGATATCAATTTTAGATCTGATTCAAGGTAAATCTTACATTATTGTACCTACATAATTATGCATAAACACATTGTGCTGCTTGAGAGTTCTCCAGAACTCTTCCAAAAAGCCTAGTGTTTTGGAACCCAGAGGTAAAAGACATGCCCCTTTCCTTGGTAAATTAAAAAATTATGTGAGTTTTAAGGCAGCTTTTGTGTCACTTTTAAATATTTTGTAATAAAGTTTTAGTTACTTGATTAAAGTACAGGTATCTCAGTTTATTGGTCAGGAAGCACTTTGTAAAGTTTGATTTTATGTGCCTATCTATAGCCCAGTCTTAAACCTAAGTATAAAATGTAGCAGTGTCTTTAAACATTTTGTAATGTTAATAAAAATGTAATCTATTATTTAAATAAAACTAACCCATCAAGGGATTAGTTAAGCCAGAAAAAAGTAACACTTTTTCTAAAGCAACTTTTAAATAACATATTTAATTTTATATTTAATTAATAGTTGTCCCTAGAAATTTTGGAGTTTTATATATGTTAAATTTAAGAAAATCTTTTTCTGATATTTTCATTTCCTTTCCCCTAACTAAAGCTTTTATTTTAAACCCACAGAGTTAAAAGTTTCAAAAGAAAAATTCGATCTTTTTCTCCTTCATTGTTTATTTTGTATCACACTTGGAGAATAAATGACAAAAATTGCTTTTGTGGAAAGTGGGCACGTGAAAGTAACTTAGTTGGTTGTGAGATAGTGGACCTCAGAAATGAGAGATGTTATAAGTGTTTTCATTTAGGTCATGGTCCTAGAAAATTTTTCTGGAATAAAACTTTGAGCCCAGGATTTCGTCCTTTTTCACTGTTGTATATCTACTACATATAGAGCACAAGGTCACTAAATATTTGTTTGATGAACAGAATAAATGACAATCTTCACTTCTGATTTTAGGTGCGATACCTCGAAGAAGAGAGACCTTTTGCAATTGAGCAAGTTAGTGGAATGCTGTTGGCCAAGCTTAAAGAAATCGCAGAAAATGCTTTAAAGAAACCAGTAGCTGACTGTGTGATTTCAGTAAGTTTTACTTCAGTAAATCATATTTTCCAGTGTATTCATATTATATAGTAATATATTTCTTCCCTTTATACTTTCATCTCTTATCTAGTAAATAATCTAAATTAATTTAGGATTTTTCCTTTTTAAAAAAATTAACTTCTCTGGTAAAAATATAGGATTGAAATTCCCATAAAATCATTGTGATAATCAGCAGATCTAATTATGTGAATTTTTAGGGCTACTGCACCCATCACTTATATAAGAATCTTACTAAGTAGCACTTAACTTCCCACCTCCAAGAATTTTAATATTTTTGGTACAGTATGAAGTTCCCATTTGGGAATCTGAGGTTTTTTATATTCTATGTCAGAAAAAAGTTCTTTCTTTAAAGATCTTTAACAAAACAATTATTTACCTAGCTTGTCTCTTGAAATTCCACTGAATATTGTTAACTAGTATTTAATTTACATAATGTATTAATATGGATATTAAGTCTTGTGTCATCAGAAAAAAAATTTTTCTTTGATGAAATATTTAAGTAAATCTATTACCTCAAACTAACTTTATTTTTTAAATATCAGGTTCCTAGCTTTTTTACTGATGCTGAGAGAAGGTCTGTACTGGCTGCAGCCCAGGTTGCAGGCTTAAATTGTTTAAGACTAATGAATGAAACTACAGCAGGTAAGCACGCTACAGTTTAGAGAATTACTATCAGAAAGTTTGTTTCTGTCTAATAATAGAATTATTTTAAATTCTTGCTATGTATTGGTTCTTGTAAGCTTGTTGCTTTGGAGTAGAAGATTTTGGCAGAAGTTGAATATGTCTTGTTGACTATAAGAGTAGTTACTATTACAGACTTACAGATGAGTAGGGCATTAAAAAAACCAACTTTACAAAAAGTGAATTTACTTTTAAACTAATAATTGTATTACTGTACTGTGTATTAAAGTATAGTATCAGAGTAACTTATCTCTTGTTTTCCAAGTAATTGTGATACTAGAATTAACCTGATTCTGTTTTCTTACACAGTTGCACTAGCGTATGGAATTTATAAACAGGATCTTCCCTCGTTAGATGAGAAACCAAGAAATGTAGTATTTATTGATATGGGACATTCTGCCTATCAGGTCTCAGTTTGTGCTTTTAACAAAGGAAAACTTAAAGTAAGTAAATAAATGATTTGCTACATTTAACTTATTAAGAGCACAGACTATCTAGAGAACCTTAGTACATGGGCTTTAACCTTGGCTCTGCCCCTTAAAAACTGACCTTGAGCAAGTTTCTTAACCTCCCTAAATCTTAATTTCCCTGTCTGGGGATAATATCAGTAACTATCTCCTAGAATTTTTTGAGGAAAAAGTGAGTTAATGTATATAAAATGCTTGGTATGCCTAGCATATAATACCTGCTATAATATTTCTTAGCTGTTTTTACTGTTTTTCTTGAGGTTTTAAATCAGTTATCAGGGAGCATAAATAATCTTACAGGAAATGTTTTCTAAAATGACTCCTCCTATTATTTAGAAGTCTTTCTAGGAGTCCTAATTATAAATTTTCTATAATATAGCACGTCTACGTGTTTATGTTCTTATGGTCTATGTTTAGTTTTATATTCATTTTTACTATTGTGAAAGTGTGGATTTGTCTATACTTATGCTCTCTCCACATACATTATGAGTAGCGTTTACTGAGAAGATAACGTGCTTTGGTTTATCCAACTGCAAGAGCCTTTGTCCTACAGTTTTATATAATAACATCTATAATCAGAACATTAAAGAGAAATGACTCAAGCTGAATGCAGGGGAGTTTTGGGTTTTTAAAAAATTTTTTTAGTATAAATGGGTTTACTCCTTTGCCTTTAGCATTACATTTTAAAGCCCCCCCCCCCTTTTTTTTTTGGTTTTTTGAGACAGGGTCTCACTATGTAATTCAGGCTGGCCTTGAACTCACTATGTAGTCCTCAAACTCGTGGCAACCCTCCTGTCTCAGCCTCCTGAGTGTTAGAACTACAGGTGTTTGCCACCATGCCCAGCTAACACACATAATTTAAAGAGTATTTTTCCCTTCCATTTTAGTAGATAATAGTGCAGTAACATAATAATTTTTAGATCACGGAGGTTTTCAAAAGTCTGTTAAAGACTATGGGCCCTTTGTCCCAGAAGAATGCACACTTGCACTAGTCACATACCAAGATAATTTTAGCATTTAATTTTAGATATTACTGGACTTCACAAGCAATTGATTCATTGATTCTTCACGCTAGTCTGTTGGGAAGACAACACACTCACACTTGTGCTCACATCCTATTGTGATATTTCTCATTCCCCATACCCTCACAAATACACATCATCTTGTGAAGAAAGGGCTGATGAACCACATCAGCAGTGGGATTCATTTTTTTGTAGTGACTATATGTAGCCATTTTACCCTCAAGAGACTAGATGTCTTGGTCCACAGTGTTGAAGTTCTGGGACTTATTTATCTCTTCTGTATAACTATCAGCTGGGAGCCTGTTGTTTAACAAGCTTATTTTTTGTTTGTTTTTTGTTTTTTGAGACAGGGTCTCACTAAGTAGTTCAGCCTGGCCTTAAACTCTGTGCAGTCCAGGCTGGCCTCGAGCTTGCAGTGATCCTTCTGCCTCATCCTCCCGAGTGTTGGAATTATAGGCATGTGCCACCATGCTTGGCTCCTCAAGGACCTTATTTAATTCTATCTCTGTGTTTGTTTGTTTTCTTTTTTGCTGTCTCATGTATTCTTCTTTTTCTCCCCCCTCCTTTGAGATGGAATCTCATATTGCCTAGCCTGGGCTCAAACTGTTGATTCTCCCATCTCAGCCTCCTGAGTATCTGAGATCATTACTATGCCTGGCTTCATGTAATCTTTTAAGTTTCTGTAAAAATAAGCCAGAGTTTTATTTGTTTCTTATTTTAATTAATAGTTAGCAAGCCTAATTACTGATCTGTCTACATTGAACATTTACAGTACTGTAATCTTTTTTTTTTCCCTGTGGTACAGCGACTGAACTCGGGACCTTGCGCTTGCGAGGCAGGCAGCAGATCCACTGAGCTAAATCCCCGGCTACAGTACTTTAGATTGAATCTTTAGATCTACTTTTTAAAAATGTTTTGTTCTTGTTCATATCTTAGACATGTTTCTTTACTCTCTTAAATTGGTTTTTAGTACAGTGTAATTGTGGAATCAAAGAATATGAGATAATGAAGTTGTAATTTAATTATTTCAAAATTAGAATTATTCTTGAAGTTATGATATATAGATCTGTAACTATAAAGCATATAACTGAAAGTAAGGAAATGTGTTAGGTAAATGTAGGTGATAATATAACTCTGATTCCAAATTTGTCACCACTGTGAGTTATTCTTAGGTTTGTTTTTTTATTATCATATTAGAGGTTTTGCTTTT